GGTGCGCTCGCGTCATATCTGACGTCCTACCCCTCCCTCCCATCCCTTCCCATGGCGCTGATTTTCTCTATCCGCGGACGCGTGTCGTAGCGGACTGTGGCTCCGCGCGCGCGTGCGTAACTAGTGGGTGGTGGTGCGCGTGCGTGCGTGCGTGCGTGTGTGCGTGGTTGTGGTGGTGGTGGTGGTGGTGGTGGTGGTGGTGGTGGTGGTGGTGGTGGTGGTGGTGGTGTTGGTGCTGGTGCTGGTGCGCTGGTGCTGGTGCTGGTGCTGGTGGTGGTGGTGGTGGTGGTGGTGGTGGTGGTGGTGGTGGTGGTGGTGGTGGTGGTGGTGGTGGTGGTGGTGGGTGGTGGTGGTGGTGGGTGGTGGTGGTGGTGGTGGTGCGGCGCGGTGGTGGCGGGCGGATGGGCGCGCGAGAAAGAGGCCCGCGCTGGGGCGAGAACGCCATCCTGAACGACGGAGGCCAAACACCGATCCGAAAATGAGGCCCACGCTGCAGCGGGAGCACGATTCGGAACGATTCGGGAGCAGAAATGAGGCCGGCGCCTCAGCGAGAGCAGCATTTTAGAAAAAAAGCACAAGCGAAAACCCAACTCCGGGGAATCCTGTGTGTAAAAAAACAGTACGCGGGGGGGTGCCGAATATCTTCCGGACGCCATCAGGGGAAGTGGGAGAGTATTTTCATATTTTGTGTGATTGGAGGAGGAGGATGGGAGGGAGGAGGAGGAGGAGAGGAGGCGGAGGAGGAGGGGGAGGGGAGGGGGAGGAGGAGGAGGCGGAGGAGGAGGAGGAGGAGGCGGAGGAGGAGGGGAGGAGGAGGAGGAGGAGGAGGAGGAGGAGGAGGAGGAGGAGGAGGAGGAGGAGGTAGGAGGAGGAGGAGGAGGAGGAGGAGGGGAGGAGGAGGAGGAGGAGGAGGAGGAGGAGGAGGAGGAGGAGGAGGAGGAGGAGGAGGAGGAGGAGGAGGAGGAGGAGGAGGAGGGAGGAGGAGCAGCAGACGCATGGGCTCGGGCCCGAGCGGCGGCTCGCGGCCGAGCGCCCGGCGCAGTCGGTGCCCACGGCGCCGTCCGGGAGGGGGCGCGTCGGGGGCAGCAGCGGGCCCCGAGCGCCTCGCCCCTGGCCGGGCCGCGCGGTGGGCGCCGCCGGCCCTGCGGGCGCGGGCGTCCGCGGGCGTCGGAGCCGATCGGGGCCCCCTCCTAGCAGGAGGAGAAACACGCCACAAACGTAAAACTTTTGGCGCTCCGCGCGGGTTTCGTGGATCTGCGCTGGGCCCCCCTCCCTGGCGCGCGGAGCGCGCCAGGGGCGGCGCCGGAGGCGCCGCCAGGGGGGCCAGCGCCGACCGAAGAAATCCGCGCGGAGCGCCAAATAATCATGTTTATGGCGTTTCTCTTCTTCGACCTCCCCCGAAGAGTCTGCCGAAGACGTCGTCAGCGACGCGGTCCGGGTGCAGCTGCCGAAGCACCGCGGCGGCCAGGGGGCTCGGCTGCTGGCTCGCGCCCTGCGCGCCGAAGAATCTGCCGAAGACGTCGTGGACGGAGCGGGGGTCCTGGTGCAGCTGCCAGTGCATCGCGGCAAGCGGGTTCGGCCTTGCGCTCGCGCCCTGGGCGCCGAAGAATCCGCCAGGGCTCCAGCAGCGTGTGAGACGGGGGTCCCCCCCCACCTGTACCGACCAAGATCCGTCGCACGTGCAGGGGGGGGGACGACTAGACGTGTCTATCACAATGGAGACCTGGCATCCACGGCTAGAAGCTGTGAGCAGGAGTGGATTGCGCGCGGCTCGAACGGACGCCAGTGTGCCGCGGTAACGGGTTGATGACTTTCATTGCAATCATGAAGGGGCATCCCAGCAACATCAAATGCAGTCTGTGCAAATCATTTTCCATCGCGCGTGCAGGCGACATTGCTCGTGAGGGTCATCTGTCATATGCGCCCAGCATGTGTATCCAACAGCAGAGCGCGTCGTCCACGTCGACCCACTGGCCACGCCTTAATTTTTGAAACTCGTGTTGACGGATCTAGCAGTGTGCTATGTCAAAGCCGCCAGGCAGTGGGAAACTACTGGCTGGGGCTGGAAGGCGGCATGGGAACTCAGAGTGCTCTGAAAGTGGGACTCATCTAGCCCTTCCGGGGCTGCGTATGGAAACATCTTTAACACTGTCACGCTGCCGATCAACATACATCTTCTGCCCAACACTACGGACAATGCATCAAACACCTTTTGGTTGCGCCACCGGAGTGGGATCTAACGGTCGAAGATCGAGCCACAGTCCCTCCGACAACTCCGCCTGACGTGAGCAACTTTGTAGCATTATCAGCACGATCATGCGCACAACCTCGATATGCCTGAAGGGCAAGCGCTCCTTCAAACAGTTGCTGTGCCCATGACCTCGATCACGAAAGCAGCAATGCGCATACACGTACTACGACCACCCGCATGACCACCACCATCATCAGCGTACGTGATGCATTCAATTATTATGCCACGTGCGTCACCAACTGAAGCTGCGCTCAGCACAATTACCGATACAATTGCTAGCACATCCATCTCACACACACACACACATTGCAACCTTTTTGTCCCAAACCTGTTACGTCCGCCAACAGAGCAATTCAACCAACGCGTTGCCCCTCCTCTCTCTTCTCCATCTTCGCTCTCTTCTCTCTCTTCTCTCTCCCCCCCTCTCTCTCTCTCGCTCTCCCTCTCTTGACTGCAACACGCTCGTTCTGCTGCTCCTGCTCTGCTCTTTCCTGTTTCTGGTGTCATGGGTGAGTGGATGTGGGACGAGCCCGCGCGGTTAGGGGAGCACGGGACGCACTCAAACACGCAGGGTCCCAGCGTGTATGTTGTGGCGTAAGCCATTCGAATCTGGCGAAGAGGTCGTCGTGCAACTGCCGATGCATTGCGGCAATGGGGTTAGACCGCGAGCTCGCGCTCTGCCCGCCGAACAATCTGCCGACTAAGTCGTCGACGCCGCCGTCTGGGTGTAGAATGCCGGGCACGTCTTCGCCGAAGATGCCGCTGCCGAAAAACATGCCGCCGCCGACCGCTGGCGGCCTGCACGTGCGGGTCCCGAGGAGCGGGCCTCGTGCTCGAGGATGGCCACCCGACAGCTCCGGGTGTCCTCCGAAGAGGCAGCCTGGCTCCGGGCCGCAAATTGGCTTGAACCTCACCGGCTGTGGAGGCAGGTTTTGCCAGCCTGCCGTCCCGTCGGTAGAACCTCGTCCTCCCTCCCCATCCTCGTCCCCGTCCGCGTTACCCTCTCCCGCTCACTCCTCCTCCTCCTCCTCCTCCTCCTCCTCCTCCTCCTCGCCCTCCTCTTCTTTCTCATCATCATCTTCGTCGTCCTCCCACTCCTCCTACCCGTCTGCCCCTACAAGAGCAGTGAAACATCGATCAGACAGCCAACGTACGCCTGGATTCCACCTTAGTGCTGATCGTGCAACCTGACTGCATTGTCAGATCGTGCAGTCAGATGGGCTATCGCCGCGTGCACGGCCATCTTAGCCGAACGATGCTGATGAGCACGAACGAGGAAGAAACTGATGGGTGCCGCGGAAGTGCAGATGACAATTACGGCGGCGCCGACGGCGGAAGCGGCAAGGGTGGCAATTGCAAAGATGCCCTGAGGAGTGCCTACACCGTGACAGTAATAACGGCGAGAACGTTGGCGAGGCGGGCAGTACCTTCAAGCGCAAGTCATGACAACATCTCAGAGTTGTGCATGTGAGCATCGGGCAAACAAATACGAAATGCCAAGCATGGGCGGAATCCACAAGTCTAGCAACAGAACGAGTCCACCGATCGAGCCCAGGGTCCTCCCTTCTGCGGCGCAAAGCCCGCTGGCACAGCACAGTTATGGGTGTCGGCGTCGCTTGGAATTTGGATCGCTCGCAGAATGCTCGCCCAACTCGAATCGGCGTGCTTGAACGAAAATGGCTACAGGCCATCATCATATCTGTCCGGATAATCTTGCAAGCTAGATGTGATTTCTCCAGCCTGCGTCGCTTACCAGGCAAACATTATATACCCAACTGACCGCTCACAGCTGCTTCGCAAGTGTCTCGTAGCTGCCCCTCGAACGCCCCATGTCTGACTGCATCGTTGCTGCACCTTGCCCGCTGTCTTGCTTGCAGCTTGCAGCATGCTCAGGGAACTCGCAGTTTTGGCCGCGTCTTAGCTTGGGGCCGTTGCCTAATCAGCTGTTGGCCCAGCAGGCCTCACGGATGAGCTCGCGACAAGGGCTGTGAGGCTGCTGCCTCCGCCTCTCGTCATGTTATCTGCGCTGCCCTGGAGGGCGGCTTGCGGGGGCGGGCGAGCAGTCGCTGCCTTGTCGGCGCTCATGTCGGACAGCCCCTTGTCCACCGCCTGTGGCCACCGCGCTCGCGCGGCAGAATGCTGGAGGCCACGGAGAGGCCCGGGTCCAGAGCGGGCAGGGGGGGTGGGCGGGGGGCCTGGCAGATGAGGAGAGGCAAAAAAGGGGCGGAGCTCGAGCTGCGTCTCCGCCGGGCTGGGTAGAGGATGGGGGGGATGGAAGCAAATTGGCCACCTCGCCGTGTAGGTGCTGATGCGCGTGACACCCGTGCTCTTTCATCACCTTCGGCCCCGGCGAGGAAAGACTGAGCCCCCGCCAGGGCACCAGGGTCAGCCTGCTCCAGCCCCAGCCCCGGACCCAGACACGGCCCAGCCCAGGGGCCCGCAGCCTGGGCCCCGGCTCCGGCGCCCTGGCCCCAGTCCCCAGCCCCCCGGCCCCAGCCACCCGGCCCCAGCCCCAGCCATGGCCCCAGCCCTGGCCATGGCCCCAGCCGCGGCCCCAGCCCAAGCCCCAAGAGAGCCCAAGAGACTCCCAAGAGAGCACCAAGAAGGGCTCCAGAGCGTGTCGCCGTCCCCCTTCAGGGTCGGCGGCACCGGCCGGTAGGCCTTCCTAATCTTCTGGGGCTTCTCGCGTCTTGTCGTGTGACCTTTTCGGGCCCAGGAGGGGCCCAAGACTGGCAGGGAGCGCACCAAGAGACCCCAAGACGGTCCGAGAGGGCCCCGAGTCGCCGAACGATCGCACCGGGATGGTCCCAAGACGGTGCGAGAGGCCTCCAGGACGCCCCCCAGAGAGCCCCAAGAGCCTATCCTAAGATGGGCCCGGGAGGCCAAAATCATTGCTCGACGAAAAAAGTTTTGCAATGGGTTTGGGGTCCTCGACTTTTCGAGCTCCCGACGCCCCAGACGGCCAGACCGCCACAAGGGGCCCCCCGGAGGGCCCCAACGCGGCCCACGAGGGCTTCAAGATGACTCCAGAAGCGCCCAAGACGGCTCAAGAGGGCCCCAAGACAGCCCCAAGAAGGGCCAACGAGGTGGAATACGAATCGAAAATCCGAAATCGTCCGCCCCAAGAGGCCCGCAGGAGGCTCCAAGGCGGCCCCAAGAGTCCCCCAAAAGAACCCAAACAACCACCGGAGAGGCCTCCCGCGATATCCCAACGCACATCCTAGAGACCTATGACGGGATGGGCCGAAGGTCCTTCGATATGTTGCATCGGATGGTGAAGATTGGGTCGGATAGATGTGCACAGAACAATGCTTTTGCATGGACTGGTTAGGGATGGGTTGTATGGGTGTGCGCCGAGTAGTAGTTGTTTGCATAGGATGGTGAGGGTTGGGTCGGATTGATGTGAGCCGACTTGTATTCTTGGCATAGGATGGTGAGGATTGGGTCGGATGCATGCGCACCCAATGACACCTATTGCATAGGATGATTAGGGTTGGGCCGTATGGATGTGCGCGGCGCTATGGCGAGTTTCATACTTCGAAAATGAGTCGGCCTCCATCCTTGGAAGGATAAGCGGCATAAACATAAGCATGTGGCGCTCCGCGCGGATTTCTTGGATCCGCGCACCCCTCTTCCCTCTCCTCTCCTCTCCTCCTCCTCCTCCTCCTCCTCCTCCTCCTCCTCCTCCTCCTCCTCCTCCTCCTCCTCCTCCTCCAGCGCCTCGACCGGGGACGCGCGCCCAACTTGGCATCAGCTTCGCATACATCGAGAAATAAACATCGGCATAAACAGAAATCTAACGACGGTCCTCGCAGATTTCTTGGATCTGCGCTGCACTCCACTCCCTGGCGCGCGGAGCGCGCCATCGGCGGCGCCGGAGGCGCTGCCAAGGGGGCGGACCGTCGACAATTTATGTTTTTGTTTTTTCTTCTTCGGCTGCAATCGGGCTGGTGAAATAATGAACGATACGAAACGAACGAAGTTCCGTTATTGCTAAGCCGAACCGTGGAGTCCGAATGGAACGGCCGTAAAATCCGAAGGAGCAACGGAAAGGCTCGCCACCAAAAAAGCAACAGAACGCATGCGAGCCTAAGGAACCACCGAGCCCCTGCCGACCCCGAACTGGACCTTATTTCGACGAGCTGACTGTATACTCACGGGGAGCGGCTAGGGAGAAACCTGAGCGGACTTGAGGAAACCCGACCCCCCTTGAGAAAGCAAGGCGGTCTTTGTTCCGACGCTTGGAGGCGCGCGCAAGAGGGTTAGACAAGGGGGGAGCCCTTCTTGGAAGGCAGGGGGGCTTCCTAGAAGCCCTCCTGCCTTCCACGAGGTCTTCTCAGAAGCCTCCGACCCCTTCTGGGAAGCCCCCTGCCTTCCTAGAAGGCCGCCCTCTTCACCCAACCTACTTGGCGCGCCGCCGAAACGTCTTGACTGCAAGGAAGGGCGAGGCAAGCAGAAGAACGGGCGTGGAGCCGAAGGATCGGATCGGTGCGTCAAGGTTGCCAGGAGTGGCAGGCAGCCTAGTGCATAACTACCTGAAGGATCCTCTGCGATAGGGGACCCTCTCGGAGGGGATCCTCTCAGGGACCCAGTCCTCGGGCTTCGCCTGGCAAAAGCAGTCGTGCATCTTCTTTTGGCAGCCTCTGCGCGCACGGGCCGCTCTCGGGCCTCAGGGCCACCCAAGGACGACCTGCGACGGAAGACCGGTCCTGGTGATGTGGTCGAGTGCTCCAGTGGCCCACATCGGGAAGAAAAGCCACGACGCCCGAGGTCTGGAATGGAAGAGGAGCATGCGACGACATTCGGACAGAGCAGGCAGAGCCTGGGGAAAAACCGTGGCCGATCAGACATCGGTCAAACAACGGACCTGCTCGGGAGCCGCCCTCAGGCGCGCCCCAACAGGATGTCCGGGGATGGCGTCGTACCACGAAGAAGGACCTTCACGTCGGCGCACTCGTCGGTTTCCGGTGGGTCGTACGTGATGTTTACCTCTGCGTGCAGGCCACGGCGGGTCACCAGCGTCTGTAACACCGACCCTCTACATGGGCCAGCATCCAACTCGTCGTCCTCCTGCGTGGCCGTCGAGAGGCTCGATGTAGGCCTCGTCTGTGAGCGGCGACCCGAAAGACGCGAGTTGGGCCTCGCAGAGCGGCTGTTCCTGAACGGCGGCGGCGTCGGCGTCTTCGCTTCAGGCGTCTCCGCCAGCGCCTGAGACTGGCGCTCGGCATGCCGCTGCGCCACTTGTCGCCGCGCAACCTTGCCGCGGTGCATGCTTTGGATCCTCGTGGCCGCGGCGGCGGCCTCCGCCGGCGCTGCCTCCGCGGGGGCTGCGCGCTTCTGCGCCTCCTCGGCGGCGCGCCTCCGGGCGGCCTTGCCGCGGTGGATGCTCTGGATCCTGATCGCCGCTGCGTCCTCCTGCCTCGCCAGCTCCGCCCGAACGGCTGCCGCTTCCCTGTCGGCCGCAGCGTGCGACTGGCGCTCGGCCTGCCGCTGCGCCACTTGTCGCCGCGCAACCTTGCCGCGGTGCATGCTTTGGATCCTCGTGGCCGCGGCGGCGGCCTCCGCCGGCGCTGCCTCCGCGGGGGCTGCGCGCTTCTGCGCCTCCTCGGCGGCGCGCCTCCGGGCGGCCTTGCCGCGGTGGATGCTCTGGATCCTGATCGCCGCTGCGTCCTCCTGCCTCGCCAGCTCCGCCCGAACGGCTGCCGCTTCCCTGTCGGCCGCAGCGTGCGACTGGCGCTCGGCCTGCCGCTGCGCCACTTGTCGCAATGCATGCTTTGGATCCTCGTGGCCGCGGCGGACTGGCGCTCTGGCCTGCCGCTGCGCCACCGCCGCGCAAGCCTTGCCGCGCGTGCATGCTTTGGATCCTCGTGGCCGCGGCGGCGGCCTCCGCCGGCGCTGCCTCCGCGGGGGCTGCGCGCTTCTGCGCCTCCTCGGCGGCGCGCCTCCGGGCGGCCTTGCCGCGGTGGATGCTCTGGATCCTGATCGCCGCTGCGTTCTCCTGCCTCGCCAGCTCCGCCCGAACGGCTGCCGCTTCCCTGTCGGCCGCAGCGTGCGACTGGCGCTCGGCCTGCCGCTGCGCCACTTGTCGCCGCGCAACCTTGCCGCGGTGCATGCTTTGGATCCTCGTGGCCGCGGCGGCGGCCTCCGCCGGCGCTGCCTCCGCGGGGGCTGCGCGCTTCTGCGCCTCCTCGGCGGCGCGCCTCCGGGCGGCCTTGCCGCGGTGGATGCTCTGGATCCTGATCGCCGCTGCGTCCTCCTGCCTCGCCAGCTCCGCCCGAACGGCTGCCGCTTCCCTGTCGGCCGCAGCGTGCGACTGGCGCTCGGCCTGCCGCTGCGCCACTTGTCGCCGCGCAACCTTGCCGCGGTGCATGCTTTGGATCCTCGTGGCCGCGGCGGCGGCCTCCGCCGGCGCTGCCTCCGCGGGGGCTGCGCGCTTCTGCGCCTCCTCGGCGGCGCGCCTCCGGGCGGCCTTGCCGCGGTGGATGCTCTGGATCCTGATCGCCGCTGCGTCCTCCTGCCTCGCCAGCTCCGCCCGAACGGCTGCCGCTTCCCTGTCGGCCGCAGCGTGCAACTGGCGCTCGGCCTGCCGCTGCGCCACTTGTCGCCGCGCAACCTTGCCGCGGTGCATGCTTTGGATCCTCGTGGCCGCGGCGGCGGCCTCCGCCTGGCTCGAAGTCTCCTCCATCTCCTCCGTCGGCGTCCTGGACGATGGCCTGGACGGCGGTGGCGTTGGAGTCTTCGACTTTGCTCTGCACATGCCAGCGGCGTCCAATTCGTCATCATCCTGTTGCTTGGCCGCCGAGATCAACGCAGGCCTCGTCTGTGATTGCCCGCTCGACCGACGCGAGCTGGGCACCGCCACTGGGCCACTGCCCCTGGATGCTGGCCTAGACGGCGGCGGCGTTGGAGTCTTCGCCTTCGGCGCTGTGGCCACCACCTCGGATGCTCGTTCTAAGGACCTTCCTGGAAGCCGTTTGCTTCACCCATGCGTCGGTGCTACGTCGAACGTCCGCTGACTCGAGTCGAACTTGAGTCGAGCTAGCGTCGAGCAGATCCCTGAGGTGAGCCCTAGGAAGGTTCCCCAAACGAGCATCTAAACCACCTCTGGCTCCACTTGGCTCGGGGTCTCCTCCAGCTCCTCCGCCGGCTGCCATGCCCGTTGCGGCAGCGGCTGCTGCTGCACCAGCGGCTGTTGCGCTAGCACCGGCTGCACGGCCGCGGGCGCGTCCAGCACCAGCCGGCCGCCGAGCACCTGCAGGCTCTGGGCGATGCGGGAGTAGTCCCCGTTGGCCTCACTGAGGAGCTTGCGGTGGCTCGTCTCGCTCACAGCGAGGTCCAAGGCGACCTTTAGCATCTTTCATTCAATACTTGTATATATATATATATATATATATTTCTACCCACTGGTGTGGCCTTGGCCCCAGCGGCCGACTTACCCACGTGGGCGGCGCGTGTGTATATACATGTATATATATATATAGATGTGTGTGTGTCAGAATAAGGGGGCCGAACAATCATTCACTGTCCCTGGGTGCGCGCGCGAAATAGGATTCCGCGATGCGGATTCTTCATGATGAATGTAATTGCTAAACAACGATTATTGAACCCCCCAGGCGCCCTGGCGCTCTTGCCTAGGCGCCGGCTACATTTTCATTGAAAATGAGGCTCACGCTCGAGCGGTGTGGGGGGGCACCAAAACTGGCCCCCCAACAACAAAACAACGCTCCCGCTCGAGACTTCTCCCTTTTTTACCCAGAGCCGGTGCTCTTGCTCGCCGCCGAAAACTGCCGCCCCAACAAAACCAACGCTCCCGCTCGAGACTTCTTCCCGTTTTACCTTGGACTGGCGCGCTACTCTTTCTCTCATCGGCGCCGCCCCCAGCAAGAACAACGCTCCCGCTCGAGACTTCCTCCTCTTTTACTCAGAGCCGGTGATTCCGCTCGCCGCCGAAGACCGCCGCCCCAACAAAACCAGCGCTCCCGCCCGAGACTTCTTCCCGTTTTACGCTGGACTGGCGCCCAACTCTCTTTTGAATTGGCGCCGCCCCCAGCAAGAACAACGCTCCCGCTCGAGACTTCCTCCTCTTTTACTCAGAGCCGGTGATTTTGCTCACTGCCGAAGACCGCCGCCCCAACAAAACCAGCGCTCCCGCCCGAGACTTCTTCCCGTTTTACGCTGGACTGGCGCCCAACTCTCTTTTGAATTGGCACCGCCCCCAGCAAGAACAACGCTCCCGCTCGAGGCTTCCTCCCTTTTCCCTGAAGACGGTGCTGTTCCTCACCGCCGACAGCCCCCGTGCCGACAAAACCGCGTCTCCCGCTCTAGACTTCTCCCCTTCTTACTCAAGGCGGCGTTCCTCCTCGCTGCCGACAACCGCCGTCCCAACAGAACCAGCGTTCCCGCTCGAGATTTCGTGTTCATTCACGCTGAACTAGCGCCCTACTCTCTTCTGCATTAGCGCCGCTCCCAGCAACAACAACACCCCTGCTCGAGACGTTCTCCCTTCCTATTGAGGGCCAGGTCCTTGCCTCGCCGCCGACAGCCCCCATCCCCACCAAGCCAGTCCTGTCGCTCGATACTTCCTTGTGCTTTACCCTTGGCTGGGGCTCCACTGGCGGTCTCGCATCGGCGCAGCAGGGCGCGGGCATGTGTTTTCGAGGCGGGATATGTTGAAATTCTAGACGCTTCGCGTAATCCCACCAGCCCATCCAGAAACGATGCCCAAAGGAATTGCCTCGATCAGGGAAGTGGGCAGCACACAGAGGAAGGGTCCCCCAATGACCTCTTGGAATGTCTTGGGGGCCTCTTGGCGGTCCCGGACGCCTCTTCGAGCGTCTTGGGTGCCTCGGAGAGCCTCTTGGGGCCTCTTGGGGGTCTCTTGGGGGTCTCTTGGGGGCCTCTTGGGGGTTCCCGGGCGCCACTTCGAGTGTCTTGGGTGCCTCGGAGAGCCTCTTGTGGCCTCTCGGGGTTCTCTTGGGGGTCTCTTGGGGGCCTCTTGGGGGTCTCTTGGGCGCCTCTTGGGGCCTCTCGGGGCCTCCTGGACGCCTCTTGGGGCCCTCTTGGGACGCTCTTGGGAGCCTTGGGACCGCTCTTGGAGCCCTCTTGGGCCATCTTGAAGCCTCGAATGGCCATCGGAATCGAAAAGGCGAGAAAGCCAAAAACATTGATTTTCCCAGGTTTTGAACAGATTCTGGCCTCTTCGGGGCCTCCTGGGGGAGCTCTTCGGCCACTTGGAGCCGTCTTGGAGCGGTCTTGGGGCCTCTTGGAGCATCGTGGGAGCCATCTTGAGGCATCTTGGGATCTCTTGATCCATCTTGGGGGTCATCTTGGGCTCTCCCAGGCACTCTTGAAGTCATCTTCAGCAGTGCCCCCCCCCCCCCCCAGGAGGCCAAAATGTGGCTAAAACCTTGTAACATCAATGATTGTGGCATTGTCGCCGAGGTCTCTTGGAGTGGGTGTCTCTGGGGGGCCTCTTGGGGCCTCCTGGCCACCTCTTGGGGCCCTCTTGGGGTACCCTTTGGGAGCCTTGGGAGCGCTCGTGGGGCCACCTCGGAGGACATCGATCAAAGAAGAGGGGAGCTTTTTTTAGCCTCGCCCCCCCAAGAGGCCCAAATGCGGCCAAAACCATAATAAACCAATGAATTCGGCTTCCTCGCCGATGCCGTTTTGGACGCCCCGACCGCTCGCGAAACGCCCCGTCCAGGTCCAGGGGAGGGGTAGGGGGCGGGGTAAACCTCTGCCCGAAGGGGAAGAAGGGGGTGGAAGAGGAAACACCTTAAAACCACCTACGCCTTAAAGGGCTGGTGGGATTCCTCGGAGGAGATGTTTGCAAGACCTCATTGGGTGGGAGATCTGGGAATAGGAATAAAGGACCTCCGCGGTAGAACAATACCCGCCCACGATGGGGATGGTTATCATGATGGTCGCATGCTGCGCGTGGAAGCATCGCGCATGAGGGTAAAATGATAGTTGTTGTCGTCGTCGTCGTCCTCGTCGTCGTCGTCGTCGTCGTTGTTGTTGTTCTTGTTGCTGTTGCTGTTGTTGCTTTTGTTGTTTTTGTTGTTGTTGTTGTTGTTGTTGTTGTTGGTGTTGTTGTTGTTGTTGTTCTTTCTTGCTTGCTTGCTTGCTTGCCTGCTTGTTGTTGCTGTTGTTGCTGCTGCTGCTGTTTGGCGTCGTCCCCCCCGCGACCCGGCCTGCGACCCATCCGCGACCCACCCCGCGACCCACCCCGCGATGCCGCGTCGGGCGGCCCCCGAAGCCCGGCCCAAGGATCTTGCGACCCTGAGGCCGATCCACCATTCTGAGCTAATAGCGTCGTGGTCTCAGTTGGTTGTGGATCACCATTCCAGACGTTATTAGCAGGTTGCCCTGCGTTTGCCTCAGCGTGGAAGGTTTCAGTTCGATGACCGTGGCTGAAAATACAACCAATCTTGCCAGGGGTTCTCTCAGCAATGTGTGCATATGACCTCACGCGCTCGAGTAGAGCGTCGAACTGTTGCTGGTCTCTCGGCGTGTGGTGGTTTAGTGGATGCAGGAGTTGTTGTGCGCGCGATGTCCCCACTCCATGAGCTCTGAATAAAATAATTGTTAAGGGTTGGACGTTGGGGATGTTAAAGCCTGCCGTTTCAGCTTCATAGCGGGCTATTTCGAAGCGTGCCAGCGTCTGGTCGATTCGTTCTCCCGCATGGACTCGGAAGTCAGTGGGGGCTGTGCCAGAGTTGAGTTGGCGCTCCTCTTCTAAATTCTCGAACTTCGTGCTTAAGAGGAATATAATGTATGTGACGCCGTCGGTATGGCGGCCATATATCTTAACACCAGCGTTGATAACTGCTGGGGAGACTCTCATGGCTATGGTCCGTGCGAGGCCTCCCAAACCTCGCTGCAGGGCTGCAGCTTGTTGGGAGGGCGTCACGTTGCCTCTGGTCACATTGATCCAGGCATGTACCTCGCGGACGAATTCGCGGAAAGGTACCTGACTGGCTGGGTCCCAATGAGGGCCGGTCGTTCTTGTGTCGTCTCCGCCACGCATATGTCCTACCGCACACCCGATAGCGACCCATGTGAGCCCAAAGATAGTAACACCAATCCAATGGCCTCGCAGGTCGTTGTCGGGTGTAGTCGGTTGGGGCTTCCGTTGTGTAGTCGTAAGTCTGCGTGGGAGCGGAGGCGGCACCGTATCGTGTCGCATGTTTCCAGGCATTATGTTTTCGAAGGCATTTCCAATTGGAGTAGGTGGGTGGACTTCGGGAGTGAAGTAGCGCAGGGATGTAGGACGGAAGTAAGAGGCCTCCGCGTAAGCGGGGTGTCACTGCAAGTGTCCTTGCTGTACTGCGTAGTATATACATTCCTCCGCGCAAGCCCACTGCACCCTGATGTTCCACCACGTCTGTAGTCCACCAGATAGTGCCGTGGATGGTGAGGAGTAGAGTTAGAGCTGACCACCATGGGCCAGCTCCGCTACCAAGGCGGAAATGGGTTGGGAGACCCAACCAACAGCTTCGCCGTAGGCGAAGCCCAAGCCCAGCTCTGTAGTACCGTAGTAACGATGGTCCCAATAATAGAGGGCGTGCCATCTTGAGCAGTAGGAAGGTCCTTTTGGTCTCGATGGCGAATAATATGCCTCGCAATGAAGCGCAGTCACCTTTGGGCGGCCGGCCGCTTCAGCCGACGCGGCCGCGGGCACATGCTCGCTTCCGCTCCCTGCGTCCCCAGCTCGCTTAAGAATCCAAGATGGCCCCAAGAGGCCCCCAAGAGGCCCCAAGCGGCCCCAAGAGGCCCCCCCGAGGCACCCAAGACGCCCAAGAGCCCCTGAGGACCGCCAAGAGACCCCCAAGACGTCTCAAGAGGCCAACAAGAAGCGCCCAAGAGATACCCCAAGAGGCTCCGAGAGACATCTAAGAGACCTCTGGCCTTTTCCTTGCCCTCCTCCTCCTGCTCTTCCGTCCTCCTCCTACTCCTTCTCTTCCTCCACCTCCTTATCCTATTCAACCTCCTTCCCCCCGCTCCCTCATCCATCCATCCATCCATCCAGCCTCCTCCTTCTCCTCCACCCTCCTTCGCACGGTTTGGCCGTGCCCCCCTTTGCTCCTGCACTTCCCTGATCACCTCAACTCGCTTGGACATCGTTTCTGGATAGGCTGGTGGGGATACTTTTGTTTGGTTTGCGGCTCCAAGGCGAGGGACATGGAGCGGGCACAACGTCCGGGGCGCGGTACGTAGATAATTGGCGCGAGATTGCCGCAGACTCCAGCGGACAGCTGGTGGGGATACGCGAAGCGTCTAGAATCTATGAATACTAACCGCCTGCGGCGGGCTTCTCCAGGGCCTCGCAGACTGCAGACGCCC